TGACCACTCAATTGCATTTCTACTAATTATTTTTTTTATTTACCCTCACTATTATTGATAGATTACTATTTCATCCATGTATTTTTTATATGTGAACAAAATTCTTGGTGGGGCGGGTATGGGTATGGGTATGGGGCGGGGGAGGCTAAAACCATACCCGCCCCATACCCATCAAACATTTTGCGGGTTTTACCCATACCCGCCCCATACCCAGTCAAAGCGGGGATTCCCCGCGTTGACTGGGTCGGGGGCGGTCGGATACCCGTGGGCATGGGTTTGATTGCCATCCCTATTCGTGACTTACAATAAAAGTATTGCATTGTCTTATCTCACAGTAAAAGTACCACATCGGAAATACAAGAGAATGAACCCTTATATATTAGTGTCCACCTAGTCCAAGTAGTACGAGGCCTTTTGAGATTGTTATGCGACACGAAGTTCGTGGTACTTATCTTGAGAGGAGGATTGTTATTGGACAATCCAAGTACTACATCGGTAATACAAGGGAAGAGACCCTTGTATATAAGTGTCCACCAAGCTCATTAGTATGAGGCCTTTTGAGGAGGACACCCAAAAATAAAACCATACAAATTTGGTCCATATCGGACAATATCAAGAACCCTAGTTTGACACATTCCATACTGGTGCAATTAGAGCTGTCAAAATGTAACCCGACCCGAGTAACCCGCCCGATCAACCCGACCCGCAACCCGATTGACCCGCAACCCGATCAACCCGCAACCCGACCAACCCGCAACCCGATCGACCCGCAACCCGATCGACCCACAACTCGATTAACCCGCAACCCGATTAACCCGCAACCCGACCAACCCGCAACTCGACTATAATAGAAGGAATTCGGTGAAGATAAACCATAAGTTGACATTTGAAATTCTAGTTCACTAAAGTCTGATCATTACGTCATCAATTATTGACTTAGTATAATAATATACATCATCAATCTATAATGAGTGTAATGGGTTAGGATATAAGGTATTAATGTTTTAGGCACGATTAGTCAAAAACTCAAAATAATAACTTATAACTAATAAGAATCGAGTTTTTTATTACACGTGTTCATGAATCAAACCATTAGAGGTTTAGGGTATATAGACTATAGAGTCGATGTATAGGGTATATGGTTAGTCTAATGGGTTAGGGTATAAGGTATTAATGGTTTAACAATTATTAGTCAAAATCATAACTAATAAGATCAACTTTTCTTATTAACACATGTTCATCAATCAGAATTCAAATTATTATGGGTTTAGGGTATAGGTTATAGAGTCGGCTTATAGGGAAAAACCTATAGTTTCTTACTCTATGTCATCAAACAAAAAGACTATAGTTTCAGAGATTAACGCACATTAGCACTTTATATATAACACCCTTGATCAAATTAACGCACATAATGACACACATATCAAGCTTTAACGCGAATTGGGAAAACCCCAAATTGACCACCATCACCAACGGGGCCTCTTGCACTTCAATAGACGACTGCGGATCTTTGCTGCCTATGTGAGCCACCATGACCTTGGCCTCCATGTCTACCAAGTCTGGTAGCAAATGCGATCCAGCCCCACAATGTAAACATCATCACTGATACAGCAAGGCACGCAAAAGAATTCCTAGTATTTGTTCTCGTGAAATTGAGAATCAATTAGTGCATATGGTAGGTTAGTTGATGATAGTGAAAATCAATCTATATTTACTTCTGATTGATACAATCAACAATTTCCTGAAACAAAGAAGGGCAATTAGGGTTAGTTGATGACAGTGAAAAAAGAAACCACACAGTAATCTTCTAGAAAATTCAGGGGCAACTTGAAAATCGCACCTTGTTGTATCATGCAACCATACTGATCCGCCCAGTGTCACAAAACATCTCCACTGCCTGACCTAGGCGAAATTGCCCTCTGCATACAGTGTGTAAGCTTATTATATTGCTAAGAGAAATTAGGTGAAGCTGTTAGCTGAAGCTCCTGCTATAGAATTAGACAGAAATTGAGAAATTATGACCTAGATTCCTAAAATCAAACCAACCAAAAGTTGTGCATGTCCTAACCACCATTATTTTCATCGGAAGTACTCGTCGGGGATGACTCCTTCCTCCTCGAGGTTTAGAGCCGAAAGCCTCTCCAAGGCAAGGTGGCCTCTCTGCCGGAGATATCCAAAGTCAGCGTGCTTCCTTCCACGGTCAATGCCCCTTAGACAAATCAAGAAAAATAGAAAAAGTAGATTAGAACCCTAAGAACCAACAATAAATGAATCAAAATCGAGCATGCATTAGGTTTTATTAAGTTCGTCTTACCTCAGCAAAAGCCACTGGCGTCGTTTCATTCCCATAAATCCCATCGTACAATCGACCCGGAAAAGAGATGTAGGGAGAAATCAGATTGAGTAAAGAAGAGGGGGATTAGGTTACCTTCGGTTTGTATCTTTTTATTTGGGCGGAGTTTGAATCTAGGAAAGGAAGAGAGAAGTAGAGAAGAAGGATCCAACTTTTCTTATCTCTGCAAAAGGAAGAGAGAACGAGAGAATGAAAACAAGGAAGACTTTCTTCGTATTTGGGAAAGGAAGACAGAACGAGAGTTTAATTTGGTTTAGAATTTTGTGGGTGGGAAATTTTGGGCGGGGGAAAATGTGTGGGGGGAAACTTTTTCATTTTGGTGGGAATTTTTTTAAAGAGAATTGTTTCGTTTTTTCTTTTGGGAGCCAAAATTTCTTTCTTTACACTGTGAAGTTTTTGTTTCACTTTTTCTGAAATCTTTGGAGCCAAACAAAATTTTTGGAGGCAATGAAAGTTTGGAGGGAAAAAACTTAAATCTCCCTCTTACAATTTGGAGCACAATTTTTTACGAAATAAATTACCACAATTTTTAGTATTTTTGTGAAAAGAAAGAAGGAAAAAAAATTGGTGTTTTCAATTTTTTGGTTTTTCATAATTTTAGCTTTTGAAATATGAATCTTTAACTTTTATATGGAGGGCATGACTAGTTAAAATTATTCTTATATGCTTTGAAGGCTAATATATATATATGTATGTAATTGTTTATGGGCTAATAAATAAATTAACCATTAGTTACAGCAATTTATACTAAACTTGACAAGTAATCTTTGACGGTTCGTTGTTTAGGATATAAAGTATGAGGAATTTCACAATGCTATATAGTATTGGTGCTATAGGTTTTTGTTTTTATGGTACAACTTGAAATTGTACATTTAACGTTATGGTACAACTTTAGATTATACCTATACTGTTTGTATAAATTCTTTTATGGTACAACTTGAACTTGTACCTTTATGTGATGGTACAACTTCAAGTTGTAAATTTGTACCATAACATAATGGTACAAATTCTCTTATGGTACAATCTAAACTTATACATTTCATTTTATGGTACAACTTTAAGTTGTACATTAAAGCACCAATACTATATAGCATAGTAGAAATGCTCATAAAGTATATGGTTAGGGTATAAGGTATAAGGTACATATGGTTTAGGGTGTATATGGTTAGGGTATAAGATATTGATTGTTTTGACGGTTCCAAGTTTTTTATTAACATATGTTCACTTGAAGTCATTTGAAGTCTTTAACGGCAGGAGATCCCTTTTTAATTTATGTTTATGGTACGTGGTTAGGATACAAGGTATGTGGTGTAAAGTATAGGATATATGGTAAGGGTATAACAATTAGCAAATATCACTTTTTTATCTATGTTTTGAAAATCAAAGTATGAATTTTACTTTTAAATTAACTATACTAGCAAAATCACAACTCAAAGACATATGGTTAGGGTATAGGGTATAGGTTATGTGGTTAGGGTATAATGTATTGATGGTTTAGGGTATACAATCAACAACATATACTAACTTAATATTGTTGATTGAGGGTAAGGCTAAGTGTATAGGATATATGCTATTGAGTAAGTTATGATTGAAGTCACAATAATTTTACTAAATTTGATAGCTAATCTTTAATGGTTCAATTTTTAGGATAATTCGAACAATTTTACAAATAACTCGTTCGGCAACAGTTTACTGAAGTTATTTGCGCAATGAGTTATTTCGAAATAACTCTTTTTATCACTATGCTTTTGCCAAATACCACACGCCAAATACCAGATTTGCATGGTTATACTAAACGAGATACTTTAATCCAAATACTACTGAATTAATACTAAAATGTCAAATAAACAATTAATGGTGTCTTTTGGTTGCAAATATTGATATCACCATTACTATTAGCTATAATACTTTACCAATTATGATTAATTACATAACAAGTTTGCAACTCGTACAAATTGATTTAACATTTTGACTAGTTTTTTTCAAAAAAATTAAGTATATATATACGAGGTAGAAATAAATTGGTTAAAAAGTTGAGAAAATATTTTAAATTATTGTAATAAAATGTGTAAGTTGGTAATGAGTAATGAGTTAAGTTACTTGATGCGCTGACCCGAACAACCCGAAACCCGATCCGCCCGCAACCCGCCCGACCCAAAACCCGATGAACCCGCAACCCGATTTGCCCGCAACCCGATTGAACCCGAACCCGATGAACCCGCAACCCGACTAACCCGCAACCCGTTTGAACCCGAACCCGATGAACCCGAACCCGATGAACCCGCAACCCGACTAACCCGCAACCCGTTTGAACCCGAACCCGATTGAACCCAGCCCGAACCCGCCCGATTGACACCTATAGGTGCAATGTTCACCTCGACTAACTTGATTCTAACATTTTGTGCCGTTGTTGGACTCTAATTTTGTACTCTATAACTAGTTGATCATTAATACTTTCAGACGGGCTTTGACTTGGCTCTCACATATAAAAAGCAACTTGTGATCTTCAGGTGCAAGCCAGCTGGTACAATTAATTTGCAGACATCTATGGCGTTGACTCTTGTCCCACCAGAAAACCAGGGCATAGAACCGCTAGGTAAGAGATTGAAAGGAAGTGATAATTTGAAGGGTGAAGAAGAGAGTACTCATGGGGGAAAAGAAATTTGATATTAATTAATAATAACAGTTGAGACTTGAGAGATGAGAGGGTACCAAATTGCAGTATATACATATACATGTTATTATAATGTAAATACGGAAAGATTAATTAAAGCATGTACTCCTACTGCATAATTAATTTACACTTGTTTCTTCTTCTTCATCTTCCAAACTGTACTGCGGTCTTTGTTTTGTTTTGAAGCCCTTCCTGCAGGAAAGCTTGAAAGGGCCACCTCCATCTCTTACTCCTTCCCTCCCATCACTATTACTACTAAGGACACCTAAGAATTTCACTACCCATAACAAAAAAGACCAAAACCCAGAAGATGCAAAAAGACAAGAATTAATTAACAGCGATCTTATGGTATGATACGATATGATGGTGAAGATTAAAAAAAAAAGGATAGGTAAGTAAGTAATGATGGTACTAATTTCTAGACTTCAAAACAAGCCGGAAGCGGCAACGGCGGCGTCTATCGGCGCCATGTTGATCAGGTCAGCGGCGGTAGTAGTGTTTGTAATGATGCTGGTGTCGTCGAATAGCCACTTCTCCAGCAACGAAAGCGGCGGTGTAGTGTCATTACTTTGGATGGGTATCGGCTTGCTTTCCACCGACTGCGACCCAGCGTCCGAGGGGGAGCTGAAGCTGAAGAGCGAGTCGAAATTGTTGTTGTGGTTGTTGGTTTTGGAATTCTGAGTGGTGTCGGAGTGAGCCGGATCTGGATTCTTCATCCAGCTCCGCAGCAGCCTGGCGATGTTGTCCGCGCTCGACGCGTAACCGCTCGAGTTATTACTCGTACTACCCGACGTCGGCGAAGATTGGCGCTGCTGCTGCTTTGTGTGGTGGAGATCAAAGGGTTTGGAAGAATTTTGGTGGAGGGAGAGGGCGTGGCAGAGGGCTTGCTTGGCGAGGCCGATGTCGGTCTGGAGGCGCCTCTCCCACTGCCCTTTGGAGTGTTTGTGGGAAGAGGAAGCCGCCGTGGGTGAGTCGGATGGCGACCCTCCTTCTTCTTCTTCTTGTTGTTGTGGGTGGTGGTTGTTGTGGAGCTTTTTCTTGAGGTGGGTGTTCCAGTAGTTCTTGATGTCGTTGTCGGTCCTCTGGGGGAGGTAGGATGCGATGGCTGCCCACCTGTTGCCGAGGAGGGCTTGGAGGTGGATGATCATCTTCTCCTCCTGAGGGGTGAAGTTCCCCCGCTTTATCCCCGGCCGGAGATAGTTTGTCCACCGCAGTCGGCAGCTCTTGCTGCATCTCAGCAAACCTGCCGCGCAGTAAGAAAAGGGAGGTCATGACAGGTAGATAACAGTGCAGTATTTCATTAAATTCACACAGCTAGCGCAAACCAGAGAAAAGCACAGCCACAGGCACAGGCAGGCAGCAGCAGAGCTTTTAATTTAATGCCCAAAACCAACTCCCCACGCACAAAAATTATCATTCCCAGTAAGCAAAAAAGAAACACAAAAAAATCATAGGAAGGGAATGAATTACCAGTATTGGTTGGAACGGATCGCCAATTGGCAGGGCCGTGATCCTGAATGCAAGACACCAACATGATGTCTTCCTCGGGAGTCCATGGCCCTTTCTTCACTCCCACTTTCTCACAGCAAGGTGGCCTCCCCATCGCCGCCCTTTCACTCTGTCTATTATTCCTTCTACCTCAATCTCTGCTTTGTGGGTTTGGGGAGATGGAAGAAAGAAAGGAAAGGGTAGGGAGAGAGACAAGGCGTCAAAGCAAAGGGTTGTTTGGCCTTCCCACTGTGGAGTCTCTCGTTCACGTCTATTTATAGACCAAGATGCAAAACCAGATAAAAACTAATAGACAAGTAGGAATTGGAATTGGAGAGGATGAACGAGAGACGCTACAGACAAAAATGAAGAAGAAAGGGTGGTTTCTTTTGCTTTTTCTTTCTTAATATTTTAATAATGTAAGGCAGACTCAGACTGTGAGGTAATAATTCTTACCCTTACTTCAGCTTCCAAAAAAGAGAGTCAAAACGGAGAGCAAACAGCATTTACTACTCCATTTTGATTTTGTTGCGAAAAGTCAGCTATGTTTATGACTTTATGTATATGCTTTGCTTTGACCCCACCACCCTCCTCTTCTCTTCTAATCTAAGCCATCCGCCTCCTTCTTCTTCTTCTTCTTGCATTTGGCCATTTCACATTACCGTGTGGCATTCATTAAACCCATCAATTTGGCATGGCAGCAACCCCTCCCTCTCCCAAGTAGTGGAGAGGATCAGGGTGAGGATGATTTTGATGTCAAAAAAATTGCACTACATTTACAGTGTTCAATAACTTAGAAGCAGGTTGTAGGTCTTCTTGAACTACAAGTACAATTTTCATTATATTAACGTGTTCAATTATATTTTTATGCATGGTTATGAATGGTGAACATTATTATATATACTCAAATGAATTAAAATGTAGTACAATTATTTACTACTTTTTGCAGAGAGAGATATATGTCAAGGGAGGATTGACACGGGTTCAAGACTGAGACTAGTTGTGGGCGAGGTCAGATTCGAACCCCGAAGATCCCAGAAGAAGAAGGAAGATATGAAGAGAAAGATTTATCCGAGAAAAAATCTTAACAATTACATCCAATCACAAACTACACCAAAATTGTCCCTTTTTATGGGGATTTACCCATTATAGACATGCACAGAGGAAAAGTCTTTTTTTCTATTAAGATAATTTAATCCAGCTAAGACCATATTCTTCTCGCATCTAAGTTTTACTAACTGTCTTGAATGAATTCAAGGGCATTTTTTAAGAGATTATGATATCATATGACTAATTTATTGTCAGAATAAATATTAGATGATCTTCTACCGTATTACTTTGATTTGTTTGATCGATATTGCTTCAAAAAGATATTCAATTTATAATCCATTCATGTGAAGGGTTACTTTTCTCTCTCTTTTTTCTTTGTGTTGATAAATGACCTACTATTAATAATAATGCTTTCTAGGTGCAGGGTTAGGGCAACAATCGTTGCAATAAGTTTCATCCTTCACTTTCCAATGTTTTCTATACGCATTACACGTTCTCTAAAGACATGAAGTTGATTCAGATGACCGTGTTTATGACAGGATCTGGCAGGTTGACCAAGGCATTTGAGTCTAGTAACAATATGGTAAATACATATAATTTGTTTGTCATTCGCAAAAAATGCATTTAACAATCTGGGTTCACCTCCCACTAGATATACTAAGACACATAAAAGTGACCAGTCATAGAGGATCCAAACTAAGTAAAATTTATTGTCGTATTGAAGCACCTCTGTACATTTCAAAAACAATTTACTGCAAAAAGCACCCTGGCTAGGGCATTTAATGCGTTGCCGTTTTGGATTCTGCATATATGGCAATGGCATTGATCATGCTTTAACCAGTTAAAAAAAAAAAAAAAATAGACCAACAGCCAAAGTCCTCCACACCCCAAACTGTATGTTTCAAAAAAGCTTCTTGGACTTGTGCATAAATATGGCTGTTTTCCTTCTGTGGATAAAAGAAATCTAATGAATACCCATATCCAGCTATTTATCATTAGCCATGGAGTATGGCCAATGACAAAAGTAGTAGTTGGTTCTCGACCAAATCATATAGGTTGGATTTGAATTTCGATTCAACATATCTCGAAACAGAAGTTGGGTTAAATAATGTGCTTTGTGAGTCGTGAATTAAATGGACCTGTTTAATTTATTGTGTGAAGAGAAAAATTTAGTTATCGAAATAATTCGGGTTTGATTTTTCGTCTTGACTATACAAACTTTAAATCTACAATCGGTTTTGGTTTGAGTATCAATAGTATTTCTACATGTAATGATCTAATGTTCATACTTCGAGCTTTCTCTAAGTCAAATTTTTTAGATGATCTGGTCATCGGGCAATGCTTTCTTTCTGTGGCTACACCTTCTTATCTCTGTTGATACTCGTGATGGGTAGGGTTTTTCTTTTTTTATATCTGAACTTCAGCTTCTTCTCTTATCTCCATCAATTCATGAGACGACTTAGCCATTGAGAAGGAGGGAGGCAGCCCTAAAGATGGGAAACAACAACAAGGAAATTAAATGTAGTACACATCCAACGTGTTGCCATCACAAGGGTTGACACAGCCAGATGTAGGAGCAGGATTTGCTTTGCTGGGCTGGGTTGGGTTCAATTTAAGGTTCGTATAATTAAGGGCAAAGAAAAGCAAAGCAGCTGCCCGCCCGGCCCACCCTTTTAATGCTAATGTCGATCTATGCTACCAACTTGAACGAAAGGTCATCAACATGGTGGCATTAAAATGGCGAAACGAATTATTTGCCACTTAAATTTTTTGTCTTCGCTTATTAATTGTGAGATTTGAAAATTCTTTTTTTTTTTATATAGGGTAAGATTTGAAAATTCATTGTAACACTTTAGGTGAATCCCACATCGACAAAGCAGAGGAGAGATCCATGGTTCATAAGTAGGAAACTAATCTTAAATGACAAGACGCGTTTTGAGGTGAAACAGAGGAGTTTTTGTGAGAACTCTGAAGTTAAACGTGCTCAGTGTGGAGTACTACAATGATGGGTGACTTATAGGAAGTCACCTTGAATTGCACCCCAAATCAAAAACCGTAAGGGTCGAGGCTCAAAGCGGGCATTATCTTCATCCCGAAATGATTCGGGATGTGACATAACTATCTCCAGTAGTAGGACCAAGTTATGTTTTTAGATTTACTATCAAGGCGGTGTTGTTGATGAACATTATTGATTTAGAGAGTTATCGATTTCTTATTAATTTTTTCAGTTATAATCGAAACCAAAATTACTAAAAAAAATTATCAGTTTAGTAGTTTCAATTAAAACCGGAAAACCAAATGGAGCTGTACGTGCTCACAGTTGGTGAACTGATCCAACCATGGTGAAGAAGATGTCCAAGTTATGGGCCTCTATAGCGTCATATAATTCCTCCTCACATGTCTATATATATCATCACTCCTCATCAGAAGAGGAAGAGAATGATAAAACGTCTTATCACTTGTTATATTTAAAGCTTTTTATATGCAGGGTTAAATTATTATTTTTATTACATATAATCATATATGCAGGGTTAATTACTGATGTAATATATATAGGGTCAGATTGGTATACTATTGCTATACTTCATGTATTTTTATCGAGATATATTTATCTAGATTATGAATTAAATCAAATTTGTGGTATGATACTATACTCTAACCTCTAATGGATAAATATCGATCAGTCCTCGATTCTCTAAACTCGCCAGAAGTTCAATTTAATAAAAAATGTTCATTGACCGTTGAGATTGGCCGGAGCTCAAAAAACAACATTATATTTAACGGCCAGATCACTTATACTCTTTGATATTGTTCATCACAGAGACTGGAAGCATGTAATAATTTCTTCGTTTTATGAGAGAAATACAGGGCGAATGTCAAGATCAAAATAATTGAGTTGTGGATTTAAGGACTTTTTTGTATAATAATAATAATAATATATATGCAATTAATTTCAGTAACTGGGCTTCTTCGTTTTCACTGCATCTAATAAATAAAGTTTTCGAATGAACTTGGATTGGTGTAGCTAGCTAGCTAGGAATAACTAAATAATTACGTCCGCATATAATATAACTCAGTCTCAGTCTCAGTCTCAGTTGATGATCCTCGATCGATAAAGAAGACAAAGACTTCATATTTCTAGGTCATCCATGACGTCTACGTAGCTCTCAAAATGACCGTGTATATTATTGCATGAAATGAAACACTCCCCACATATACATAGACAGAGTGACTGTTTCTTATACATATAAACTGCAGCCGGCCACTTAATGTTTGGTCCTCATCAGGCTTTGCATAACAATGTAAGAAGATAGCTGAAGAAGTCACCGATCGGAGCTACAGGTTCGACCCAGTCCAGAGACCCAATTTTCAGGTTTCTGCTTCTTGAAGAAGGTTGATCCGATGTCGTATTAATAATATGCGTGGAAGATAGTAGCTAGTTGCATTTGGCCTAATTTCTTAAATGAATTTCAACTTAATTAGGTTTTATATATTGAGCACGAATTAATTAATTAGTCCACCTTCGTGTGACCTGCGTGCGTATGAGAATTGGAAGTGCGATGGAAACAGAAACCTCCAATACTACTTGGTTTATTTATGCAGCGGGTTGACTTTTTACAAATGCTTTCGGCAACATAAAGATGAGGACCAATATTGAGCCATATCTGACCAGTCTTTCCCACCGATTTGAACACTACAACCGTGTGTAATTTTTTTTTTTTTTTTCAACACCTCCGCGATCATATACACATACGTGTTAGCAATGCAGAAGTATAGCTAGTTTGGCTCTTCTGTAGTTTTTGCAAAAGCTGTTTTTGACTTGAACTTTTAGATAAGCATTTCTAAAATAAGCAGTTGATGTTTGGCTAGAAATTATTATAAGTATTTTTTAATATAAGAGATCATGTAAAATTATTCAAAAGGATTTCTACTAAAAAAATATGAATACAAATTTTAAAAATAAAAAGTAGTCAAAATGGATCTTGTTAAATATCTTTTATATTAAATGATATTATTTTATTTTTTTAAATGATAAAAATGAAAGAATATTATATTTTCCAAAATAAAATTAAAATATGGTAAGTATAATCTTGTATTTTTAAAACATATTTTGGTAGAAGCTCCAAACCGAAACTTCTGCTTTTATGTTATGTCAAAGCACTTTTTGGGTTTTCAAAGTCAAGCTTTTAGAGGTGTTTGACCCAACTTCACCTTTTGGAGCATAAAAACACTTCTAAAAGTCGGACAAACATATGCATATTATTGTTGAGTAATATGGGCATAAGCCATAATATGCGTGACGTATGTATAGACAGCTCGAGTTTTCGGGTGTATGGTATATATACACATGTAAAATAATTATATAGCTTTAGGTGGTAGTTACGAAAATGCCCTTATTATTATTGTTAGCATGGTGCTAACATTATAGTGTGTTAGCACTTGTCCGGTCTCCATCTTCTTAGTCTCTTAGGTATTTAGCTCGAGCAGATGTGACAAATGAATTTAATTTATCATTTGGTGGATTGAATTAGTAAATTCATGAATTCTGATCAAATTAGATTAGTGGATTCATAAATTGGTTGTTGATTCATATATCCAAGTGGCATCTAAGCATTAAACGAATATGTAAATTTTAAAAAGTTTAGGCACTAAAACTTCATAGTAAAAAAATTAATATCAAAATGTAATTTTCCCATTATATTTTAGTCCAAAAATTAAAATCTAGGTATGAAAATGTAAAAATTTTAATCTCGATATCATGAATCAATCCATAAATCGATCAATCAAAATTTATTTGAATTAAATGAATTGAATTAATGAAATATTTTTGTAGATGGATTGGATTGGATTAGATACAAAATTACCACCTTAAAGTTATAATATGTTATTCATAGATTGAGAAAATTTATTCAGTGGCATGATGAGGATTATTAAGCTTATATATATAGTGAGTTTTACGGTACCCAGAGTGAAATCCAGGGTACCGCATATCTTGAGTATGAAAATGCTATTTAGATCTTGAATTGCCTGATCTTTCGGACATGATACTATAAGATCAAAATCTAAGTTTTAATTCTCTAAATCTTATACCAAAAGATCAATTTAATTAGAAACAATGATCGACGGTTATGATTCGTCAAAATATAGGGGAAAATGAATGCACCATTTGAGGGTGTATAGTTTATGATTTAGATAATTAGAACCTAGGGTTCACTTATTAAGGGTTAGAGTATAGTATCAGACCCAAAAATTGTGCTAATTAGAGGTCTAGATAGAGTTTTCATACTCAAGGTAGCGGTAACTCGGATTTCACCCGGGGTACTGTAGAAGCCACCATATATATATATGGTTCACTTTGTGTGCTCCTGGAGAGTATTATATATATATATATATATACACGGGTCAGACTCTTGTGTGCTCATGGAGCATACTATGCTCCATGTAGTCATAGTGAGATATTTCTATCTTGACCAGAATTAAACCGAGTTTGAGGTATGATACTATACCCTAACCTCAAATGGATAAACCCCATGCCTCGATTCTCTAATCCAAACCCAAAGCTCAATTTAAAAGAAAATAAGAATTGACCGTTGAAATTGATTGGAGCTCATCCATGTAAATTTAACGGCTAGATCATTGAATCATTCTATATATGCTCCTGGAGCATATGAGTCGAGTCAGGTACGATGTGTAGGAAATGAAAGCAAACAAAGTCAGTTTGGATTCTGGAAATGGTTGACATAGATCACAAGTTGGTAAAGCATACGGCATATATGCAGCTCAACAACTTGAGATAGAGCTTGGTCGTTCATTAAGCTTCCACGTACTGAAGTTTCCTTGTTCAATGTACCAATAGAGATTTCTTTAAAAAAAATCCAGTTTGTGTTTCCTAGGCTTAATCTGTTACAGAATTAGTTAAGTTGTTGTTCCAAGAAGAAGAAAGAAATTGGTACCTGTTCTCCTAGTCGTTAGTGAGCCATATTGAAACTAGAGAGCGAAACCTACGTAGTTAAAAATAGGGTAAATACAATTTAATAACCAAACCTTTCATTTTAAATAAAATAATAGCAAAACCATTTCAAAAACAATTTAATACCCAAACCGTTTAATTTCCATCCGGTCAACCATTAGTTGACTCTGAAGTGGCAAATGAGTTGTTGGGTAGCACAGCAGGGGAAATTACCTGTCCAGCATACATTCTCCTACATCGTTCCCGCCAGACATTGCTCACCCAGCTCTGCCATATGATTCTTCCCGCTTCTGCTTCTTCTGTTACAGCACTGAGCTTCAAAACAGTCCATCTCACCTCATCATCCCAGCTCTGCATAGGGGGAATGTAGAGCACCCTGTCAAAAAGGGAAACATGAACAGGGCAATGCACAAAGAGATGATCCATGTCTTCAACTCCATCATCACACAAACTACACTTCAAATCCCCTTTGACACCCCATTTTTGCATTTTCACCTTAGTGTTTATACTATCTCTCATTACAGCCATGTTATGATCTGATTTTTATGTATGCCCCTGCCTTTCCAGAGAACTTTCCACAAGCTTACAGTGCTCCTGACAGGTCGAAGGAAATTCCAGACCCTCTTGATTGAGAATAGAGGCATAGGAGAGCCATCTAATAAGGCTTTATCTCCCCTGAAAGAGATGTAGGGACCTACTCTTTGTCTAAGCTTCAGAATCTTCCGCCAGTTCCATGAACCAGAGGAGCAGGTGTATGTCCAGAAGCTCCTGCTGATGACTTGATATATACACATATTTTTCCACCATTCTTATATCGTTTGAGCCTCATTTCTCGTATCTTAGGCCGATTTCACGCTAGGTTATTCTTGTTTGTGATATTTCGGGTCCTAGTACGTGAATGGAGGTTTGGGAACGAGTTCGGGGTCGATTGGACGAAAGTTGGACGTTTGGCGGGAAGCTGAGGAATCCACACGGCCAGACCTAGCAGCCACACGGCCGTGTGGCGTGGCCGTGTGGAATTCCATTACGCGGACAAGTGCACTGGCCGTGTACTAGGTCCCTTGAGGCCGTGTGGAAATTCCAGAGATGTCACACGGGCAAGCCAGTTTCCTACACGGCCGTGCACCTCTAGCCGTGTAGCATTCGTGGAGGCACTTAATTGAAACGTCGCATTTTGGAGATCACACGGGCATACTAGGATTCCACACGGTCATGTGGCCTGACCGTGTGGTCGGGAAATTATGGGTTTTAACCCAATTTTGAGCCTAAGGAGAGGGAATCGAATTTTTGAGCAAAAAACAGAGCTTTAGAGAGAGAAAGTGCGAAGAACAAACCCTAAGAGCTATTTGGAGTGGATTTCTTAGCATTGACGCCCAGATTGCATCCCCAGGAGTGAAGATCGACATCCCAGAGCAGATTTTCCTCACTTTATGAGTATGACTACTCTGATTTCTATTTTCCTCTCTCTCTCTCTCTATGGAGTAGAACCCTCTCTCACTTGGATATGAAGAACCCTAGTTCCATGTGTTAGAAATCTTGATTGTAATGACTTAGGATTGATATACTGATTGGTTATAATCGATTGATGCATGATTCATTGAGTCAATTGAAGTCTGATCATCTTTTCTTGATTTCTGCTGCAACCTGAGATAGATAGAATCTGATTAGGTTGTTAGAGCTTCATCAATCGGTAGTGGTAGATTGGTTATACTAGAGTTAATCGATTTACTGCTTTGTACTGGAACCCAATTCCAGTAGTGGAGTTCTGTGCTTATTGCCTCAGCAGTCTATCCCGGTGAAGGTTAGTCGCCTGCCGGTTAGCCTGCCTGAGAGGGCTTGGTCAGCTTAAGAGGTTCCAAACTACTGTCGGATCGTCCACAGTTTAATCAACCTAGGGTAATTACAACCTCGGCCTAACTAAGGAGCTAGGGGAACTCATTCCCGAGTGACTCTTCCCTTGCTAAAGAACTTTGAATCATTTCCTGCTTTCTTACTGCTTTTAGTTAAAATCACAATCACTCGACTTAGTTTGCTAGATAATAGATAATCACGGAGTAGGCAGTAGATCTAGACCCCGGGTTGACAAATAGAACTTGCCACTCGTCTGCATTTCCGGACTGCGATTACACTTGGTCGTAGTTTGGTGTTGTGCTTTAGTGTGTCACCTGCCCTTAAGCTTGAATCTGTTGATCCAGGCAACCCATATAGATCCTTCTTGCAGTAGTATCAACCAAATGTGCCTTGTCATACAGGCCGGATTCCAGCTTGATAAATCTCTGAAACCCATACCCCCTTCATTTTTAGGGAACGTAAGATGATGCAAAGCCATGTTTGCTTTAAGCTTGACCCCTTCTTTCACGGCTAATTATCATAAATGGTCACAAAACTATTCACTTTGTACAAAACGGTCACAAACCTTTAATTTTGCACGTTTCAGTAACATATGTTTACACTAATAACAAAATGGTAATTTCGTCCATCTCCATCCAAAATTCCGTTAGTTTATCCCAGTCAGCACGCCATGTCATCAACAAATAATAATAAAAAACCAATAAACCAAACCAATTGTACCGGACCAGACCAAACCAAACTCAACTCCACCCAAAAATTATACCCAATAAAAATACAAATCCAATCCGAGCGAGACCGTGAGCAGAAAAACTCGGTTAGATTGCCCGTAAAGCTCGAAGAAGAAGAAGAATCGCTATCCCCTGCTTTAAGATCCGACTCCAATTCCCTTGATTCTGACCTGGACCTGGATTCTCCCCAGTCCGGCGCTTCGGGTGCCAGCAGTGGGTCGTCATCGCCGTCGCCGCGAGTGGTAATCGAGAGGAGGCAGGTGGGAGAGAGCGGGAGGTATAATTTCAGGGGCGGGAGAAAGAGGCTCGTCTTCGGTTGCAGAACTGTAGGCCCCCGAACCACTTTGGAAACGCCGCCGCCTACTGAGGTCGCAGCATCCCGCCGTTCACTGCAAGCCTGTTGCTGATCAGCCGGCAACAATATAGCTTCTAGCGATTGAGATACGACGGGGTAATTGAGGCCCCAAGCATCTGGGCCTCAGGGGAAGAAATGCAACAGACAGCTTCATGAAAATGTATGATTCCTCACCAAACCAATTTTGGTGGATGATTTTGGATTGGGAGATGATGATTGTATCGTGAGGATGATTGTCGGATTAGGGTTACAGAGAGAGGAAAACATATTTGAGTCCTGTTCTCAGATTGGATTTGTATTTTTATTGGGTATAATTTTTAGGTGGAATTGAGTTTGGTTTTAATTGGTTTGGTTTATTGGTTTTTTATTGTTATTTGTTGATGACATGGCGTGCTGATTGGGGCAAACTAACGGAATTTTGGATGGAGATGGACGGAATTACCATTTTGTTATTAGTACAAACATAAGTTACTGAAACGTGCAAAATTAAAGGTTTGTGACCGTTTTGTACAAAGTGAATAGTTTTGTGACCATTTATGATAGTTAGCCCTTCTTTCACACGCCAAACAAAATTGCTACAAATTTTATCCACTTCCTTAATAACTGACATCCAAAACTGAGCCAGGCTATAAAGAACTGACCCTACCAGCTTAATACGACCTGCATAAGTGAGAGAATTTGCCTGCCAACTTCTTAACCTAGCCACAATCTTATAAATCAAAGGTCAGGCATTTAAACTCAATTTGCCCGAGATCAGGGGAACCCCTAGGTATCGGACAGGGAAAGAACCCAACTGATATCCAAATCTATTTGCTCTAACCTTCCTTTCACCCTCATCCAAACCACCAAAGAAAACTTCACACTTACTGGATTTGATTTTAGGCCAGAAATGCTTTTAAACTTAGATCACACATTCTGCAATTCTTGGATACCATAGTTTGAAGCATTTGAAAAGACCAGCAGGTCATCAGCAAACCACAAGTGAGTGAGGGAGATCCCTTTGCCCATAGGATGGTATGGAAAAAAATCCCTCCCTCGCAGACTTATCTATAAGACATGAGAAAATTTCTATTCCAATTGAAAACAGGTAGGGAGACAATGGATCTCCCTGCCAGAATCCTTTCTTAGCTGAGAAGTACCCCACTAATCCCCCATTGAAGCATACACTGAGCATAGGTGTCCCCACACACATGCGAATCCAGTTCACAAATCTATCTGGGAAATTCATGCACCTTAACACTTGAATTATAAAGCTCCAATCAACCGAATCAAACGCTTTCATCAAATCAATCTTAATAGCACAGTGGGGAGAAACATTTTGGTGGGAGTATCTACTAACTAGTTCATGAGCTAGCAAGATATTCTCTCCTATTAGCCTACCTTTCACAAAGGCTGTTTGATTTTTTCTGATCAGAAAAGGGAGGAGAGAACTAAGCCTATTTGCAATGAGCTTAGAAATACATTTTTGTAGGATATTACAGCAGAAGAGTGGTCTGAAATTTTTCATCTCATCAGGGTTTGAAACCTTTGGGATTAATGAAAGAATTGTTGCATTTATAGGTCTAGGAATTCTATCATGTTCAAAGCAGAATTTAATGGCTTAACATACCTCAAGACCAATGAGAGAACAGGCATACTGAAAGAAAGCAGCTCAAAATCCATCTGGGCCAGGGCTCTTATCACCATCCATAGCAAAAATCACCTCTTTAATCTGTTCATCCGTGAAAGGTTCACAAAGACCCTCAGTCTGCTCCTTGGAGAGCTTCCTTCGCAGCAAATCATCAAAACATTCATCAGGCTGGACAATAACTTCGGGATCCTCGACCCCTAGTAACCTTTTGTAAAACCTGACTACTATCTGAGCCATCTCTTCAACATCCGTAATTTTCTTTCCTTCCTCATTCTTCATAACCCTTATAGTACTTCTACGCTCCTTTACTCTGACTACACGATGAAAGAAAGCAGAGTTCATGTCTCCTGTTTTAAGCCAACTCTCTCTAGATTTTTGCTTGTAGAAAGTCTCTTCTGCATCTAATAGTGTTCTTAGTTCTAGTCCCAACTTGGTTTCAGTGTCAAACAGATATGTAGATGGAGCAGCAAGAGCCTGTTGCTGAATGTCATTAACTTCCCTCTCCTTCATTTTAACTCTTTCTGACAGATCTGAGTATTCCTCTCTATTCAGCCTCCTTAGTAAATTATTAAGTTCTTCAGTTTCTGGCTGACTCTGATCAGTGGGTGACCAGTCACATTACTCCTCCAAGCCTCCTCTAATAATGAATCAAATTTTGGATGGGGAATCCAAAACCTGAAAATTTTGAACGGTTTGGGAACCGACTTCAATTCAGCTGCAGTATCAACATACATGGGGCAATGATCCGAAATGCCTGGAGCCTGGAAATGAACCTTGCTTTCTTTAATTGAATCCAACCATGAGAAATTTACCAATACCCTGTCCAAGCGCTTTGCAATAGGATTAGCCACCTGCTTATTAAGCCAGGTAAACCAAGGCACAGTATCCTGATGCTCCTCCAACTCCAAATCATTTATCCAGTCATTGAAGACAGTCATAGGTACATCAACTCTAGGTGAGTTTGAGGCCTCTGAAGGATACCTTATGTCATTAAAATATCGCATAACAATCCAGGGAGCAGTTGTTACTCTAATTCTCTTTAAATCGTTGTAAAGAGCTTGTCTCATGTTCTCATCATTAGCTGCATAAACCACTATCCCGAAAAAAGGTTGAACCCTCCCCCCACCATAAACTGAACAAACTGATCAGAAGAGTGCAAAACTGTAAGTGGAACGTCCTTCTTCCAGACCAACCAAATCTTCCCCAAACCAGAGTCTTTATGCTTAATCTTTGTTTTCCAATCTGGGAAGCGCTTTTCAACTAGCTTGTCTGTCTCAGAGTCTCTTATTCTTGGTTCAAGAACATATACTATGTCTATGTTGTATTTGTTTATTTTCTTAAGCTATATACTTACTATTTGCCTTAAACCCTCTTGTATTCCAGCCTCCAGGTAATGATTCTCATTTCTTCCCTCTAGCCCTACCCCCTTACCTCCTTTCCTCGGTTGATAGGGGATCAGCGGAGAGTCAATCCAAACCCTCTTTCCTTTATCTGGAGGCTTGATGTTCTCCTTGCCTATAATCATTGCCTCTATTTCCCTCTGAGCATGATGGAACTGTAAGTTCTCAGTCTGGCAACTTTTCAGTCTCAGCAGTTTGCTCAGTAGTAGAAGGACTCCCTCCCGAAGGCGGTGACCCCCTAACCACCTGAGCAAAACTCAGAGGGGGGCTCCCAATTGATGAAGGAGCTTGAATCTCAACGGCATCAATGTTTAAAACAGGTTCCTCAACAACATTTATATCTGCTATCAACTGATCCTCATTCATCACCTGACCAACCAACTTTTCCACCAACTCTTTTCCCTCATTGTCAACATCCTCCACATCTTCAGCAGACCCCTCATTCCCATGATCTTCTTCACCATTCTCAACCGGCCCAGCACCCGCATTAGATAGATTAAGCACTTCCTCCGATACATCTAGATCCACCCTCTCCTTCTCTCGCCATTCTCGAATTGGCTCCTGAGGACAGCTATGACCAAACAAACAACACTTTGAACAAGCTCGCGGAAGCTGCAGATACTCCACCCCAATCTCAAAAGTAGGATCATTATCCGGATACAGTTTAATCCGTCTTGGGAAATCAAAATCAGCTTCCAACTCAATACAGACCTTCGAAAACCCCAACTGATCTCCAAACCTAGCTTTTTGGTCTGTCCAAAAAGGCCTCCCCATAGTACTAGCAACCCATTCAATACCATCTTGCCCCAAATAATCCAAAGGTAACCCCAAGATCTTAACCCAGATTAGCAGAGATTCTACCTCAATAGGTTGAATACCCACTTCCCATTTGCGAAAGAAAACTGGATTCCCCCCAAATGCCAAGGCCCCGATGTAAACACCCAATCACAAGATGAACTCGAAGGGAATTGAAATACCAGCATCTTAGGACCAAATCGCGAAAAAGACACCAATCCGTCCCTCCCCCAAAGTCGGTTTGCCCACGACTAAAGCTCTGCAACCTTAGGACGCTTCCCGGCGAATTGCCCAATCAAAGACATCTTCCATCTCTCAGTGCCCTTCTCCTTTACATGGAATTCGAAATCCATCGTTAACCCTCTCAGGTGGACGATATGTAATGCGCTTTTCTGGAGCCACCAAGAAGAGACGAGCCCAGGATGTCGAAGACGAGAAACCCTCGCCAGCCGGCGAAGAAGCCGACGGCGAGGAAGCCATCACGAAGGGTTTCCTACAGAGCACGAAAGAAGGAGAGAGGATACATTATAAAAAAAAACTTATTAATACCAAGAGGAGAATGAGTTTGTGGGAAAACTAAAGAGCAACAAAATTAGTCATCTAAGACAATAAGAGAATACTGAATTCGAGAAAGACACAAAAAGCTTTTTAACGTGGTGTCATCATGATGGTACTAGTCGATGGAGATCATTTTCTTCTCAGGGTTTAGCATTCCTATTTTGTTGATCGACTATGTACAACATACAATATTTATATAGGTTTGCTAGTACAAATCCTAACTCCAACTTGACTAATTACAAAATGATTCCCATAATTAACACCCCCTCTCAAATCAAATTGATGTTGAGTTCGAAGCATTAATTTGAAATATAAGTACTAATATCTTCTTGATCCTACAGCCTTCGTTAAGATGTCTCCTGTCTGGTTATGTAAGATTAATACTAGCCAATGAATAGGATTTCTCCTCAAGTTTTTATACTTCTAATTTTGTTGATCAACTATATGTACAACATACAAGACGTATATAGATTTGCTAGAACAAATCCTAACTCCGGTAAAAAAAAAAAACAAATCCTAACTCCAAGTATACCCATAATCCACAAGTACACGAAGGTTTTGCTTTAATATTATTATTGTTATTTTAATCTTTATATAAATTTATAATGCATTTCATGGAACTGAACATGTTTGACTTTTAATTCCCACCCTTAACCGAACCAACAATATATACCCCAATTTTCTCCCAAGCCGAAATAGGTACTGGAACCCACCTTCCAATTCCAAATAGACACTGCCTCTGCCACCACTGGATTATAGTCCAAAGTCTCCACTGGCTTAAGTCCAAGAGTAGTTGCGCTTTGTAGTTTGTACTAATTTATTAGGAGGCAGTGGCGCTACAAGTTCATTATCATTCATATGCTATACCACTAAATCTTGCTCTACTTAAATCTGAAAGCATGCAGCCAACTCTGAAAACTAGGATCAGCCAGCAACTAGCTTAGGACAACATGCACACGTGTAATGATTCCTATGGTCCAAGTGGTTTATTTTCAACTTTAATTAACCGGACCTATCATCTATTATTATATGCTTGTGCTTTGGAAACGGATATAGAAGAAATTAAACGTCACACTCTGATTGACACTTCCATATGTTAAGCGATTCAATACTTGTCTTGCTCAAACCGCAGCCCCTATTAAAACTGAAGTAAACGGTAAGTATGTAACTAAGCCTTGTTTTCAAGGAGATTGATTGATAAAAATATTTTGGTGCATCCAGTCGTCCACACATCTCTTTCATAGATCCATATGTACTGTTATAATAAACTGACAGAAAAACAAAGATATTTTGGAAGATGGGTTGCTATGATTTCGACATAATGGTCCCTAGCTACCTAGTTCATAATACGCTTTCTGTGTTATTCAAACTTCCAGCACTATTACTATGCCGTAACTCTCGAGATCATTCGCTACATATCTATTAAAATAAAAAATTCAACTCTTGAGTACTTTAAAGTTCATACAAACACATCATATGTACTAGATAAGAAAACCAACAACTAATATTCAAATTCGAAATATCCAAACCGAAAATTTTTTAATGAAAAATTAAGATACTCTATCTCGTATCAATTCAACTCAATTATTTCAGATTATCGAGATGAGAGGGCCAACTTAAAATAGCAGTCAGTGAATTATAATTATTAATTGTTACGTCACCAACTAGTTAACCTTATGAGTTATCTATCTATCTATACATAATATTATGGCAATTCAAAATTAAACTTTTGCCACATAAGCACTTGAAGAGATCTCAAGTTGCCAAGGTGGACAATTTTTTTACCAAAAAAAATAGTTATTGACCTATTTATGGAGTTGTCCCTCTCTCTTCATTTAATATTTAATTCTCTTTTATCCAATAATTATTTTGCTTTTGTTTTTGCATTATATCTATAAATAATATATAGAGAGAAAGGTTATCAAACCGGTTTAGCAAGGGGAATGGTTTTACCAGTGGTACAACCGGTTTGTGTCGTTTCATGCCGGATAATAAAATATATAGAAATATCAAAAAGTATTAATATCAAATGAATTTAATCATATATAAACCATATTTGAAGACAATTTACGTACAATTCATATTGATATTTGAATAAAATATGATATTTCAAATAAAATTGCATGTACTCATACTTAAATTCACTAAAACGTTTTACCAAAAAAAAATTCACTAAAACTACGTAATCTACTTAGAAATTCGTAAAACGATCATAACGATCATACCGATGGTGTCATGTCGATTTCATGACTGGTACCGGTTGAATGGTTCAACCGGTGGCATGTCGGCTGACATGACAATCATGATGGAGAGTGACATATATCACATTTTGGTTTTTCATTATATCGATGTACGCAACAGTATACTAATGTTCGTAGAGT